CCTTCCTCCTCCTCCTCCTCCTCCTCCTCCTCCTCCTCCTCCTCCTCCTCTCCTTCCTCCTCCTCCTCCTCCTCCTCCTCCTCCTCCTCCTCCTCCTCCTCCTCCTCCTCCTCCTCCTCCTCCGTCCCCTCTCCTCCCCCCTCGTGCTCCCCCCGTGCCCTCGACCCACCCCCCTCTCCTGCACACCCCCCGACCGCGGCATGCCGGGCCGGCCGCGGCTGCCGGGCCCCGCGCTCTCCACCAGGAGGCGGGCAGGAGCGCGGAGCGCGCTCACGGCGGCCTCGGAAGCGGCGGCGGCCAGGGGGGAGTCTACTCCTCGCGAAATGCTCAAGAAATCATGGGTTAAGAAATTCATAGTCTCAGAACTTGAATAAATACCCCAAAATCAATATTAAAACCTTAGGATTAACATTAAAATATTAAGAATTGTCGAGACTCTGGCCGGAAACTTGGGTTTTCTTAAGCATCGCCTAAGGTGTACTCCAGATTTCGTAAGAAAAGGGGTGTCGAGACTTCGCAGCTCGAGGCACGGAGGTTTTGTGGGCGTTCTTCGCCCTACCCAGGGTCCATTTCGGTCCGATCCATCCGAAAGATTTGTGGAGCCCCGATGTTTGCATGGCGCTGTCTGGGTACTCCAGATTTCGTAATAAAGGGGAGGGGGTCTGGACCCTCCAAGACAAGCCATTTCAGACCTCCCCCTGTGGGAGAAGCCTCCCAAACATCGTCCCCAGACCCCCCCAGGCCCTCCAAGATAGCCTGGAAGAGACCCCCGCCCCGAAATGAGACCCCCCCTCCCTTTATTACGAAATCTGGAGTAACCGTGATGCCCGCTCCCGAGCCCAGGCAGGAGGCTTCCTTTTTCGGAGACGGCCATGGGTCAAGGTCGAGCCGAAGCAGCAGCCGCACCGGGCCCCTTCTGCTCCTCCACGGCCCAGGCTGCGGCCCTCCCCCAAGATGGTCGTCGGGGTGTGTGTGTGTGTGTGTGTGGGGGGGGGGGATCGGGGATCTAACCCTCAAAGGTCTTTCGACCCCCCCCCCCAAGAGGGGGTGAGACTAATGATTTTTCTGGCGGCCTCATGGATGGACTGCGGTCCCACCTTCAGGAGGCTGGTCCGCGGCACCCGCCGCGCAACAACGACGACGACAGCTACGACTACCAGGAGAAGGAGGAAGGGGAGGTTTTAAGACCAGTCCTATTCATCGCCGAGTGAAGGGGGGTGACCAAGACTAAAAACCTTTAGCGGTTGCTGACCCGGGTCAATCGAAACCCTGGTCAGCGGTCTTGCAGGATCCTGCAACATCCTGATCCTGCTGGATCCTGCGCCCCAACCTGGGCCATTGCGCCCCTGGCCTTGCAAGATTCTGCACAATCTGGCGCTCTGGCTGATCCCAATTTGCACTGATCCCAGTCTCATCTCAACGCTCCCGAGTCAACCAACAGGCACCGATACTGCTACTCCCAGGGCGCGTTCTGACCAAGGGTTTGAGGCGAATCCAGCCGTGGCGACGAGGGCCTCCCAGGAGTCCCAAAATGACGAAAACGAGACAATGGTAGCGGTCTCTATACCGTTTCCTCCCCTGAGGTGCTCCCCCGCCGCTGGGAGGAGAGCCCCAGAACCTTCCGTGGCAACTCAGGGGAGCCTCCGATACCACCTTGTTGGCTCTTGCGAGTGGACGCTGGTCGACGCTAAATCGACGTGAACCGACGCTAGCTCGGTGCCATCTCACTGGCTACCAAACGCTAGCCGACGCTAACGCAGTCTAAAGACGGAATCAAGAAGGTATACATGGCTCTCATGATTTGCTCATGAACAAGAACCCAGACATGCTCGCGACATTCCAAGCATCGCGACGGGACCCTTTTGGCCAGAGACGGCGTCTGGGGACCCCCGCCGGACCTCCAGGCCGTCAACCACAAAGCTGCGAAAGCGGCCAGCACAGCGCCACCGTGTAGGTGCCGCGGGTTGGGGCCGAAGCGCCTGGTGTTCATATGAAGGCGCCTGAAGATCTTGCTCTAGGGTGTTCCCAGCATCACGTATGGCACACGTCGGCAACCTATGAATTGCGTCTCGCGCCTCACAGCCGCCTGCAAAACCGATATGCTCTTTTGGAATCCATGTTTCTCTGGGTTTAGAAATGAAGCGAAATCTGTCGTCAATCCAACGACGCTGTGGCCGGTGAGGGCGCCTTTCCGCATATAGCTCTACTTGTTGGCACGGATCGCACGATGCAGGACGCCTGGAGGAGAGCCCCCAAACCCAGACATGCTCGCGTCTTAGCTGACATCACGAGGGGAAGGGAACGCGGAGACGTCCCCCAAAGGAGACGGGCCGTTACCCGCCTGCGCAGGACGCCCCGGCCCCAGACTCAGAACACATCAAACAAGAACATATTCCCGGAGAGCTCTCTGAGAGCTATAGGGTTTCAGATTAGAAGCCAGACGGTGGTGGTGCCTGCCAGCAGCTCCTCCACGGCGCTCAAAAATCCCCGCAGCGACTTATTTGAGGCGGCAGCTGGTCCGGGAGCGCTTCCAGCACGCGTCCACGCGTGCCTGCACGCGTGCAGGCACGCGTGGAAGCGTGCCTGGCAGCGCTTCAGTAGCGCTTTAGGAGAGCTTCCCAGAGCTCGCCAGGAAAAGCTTTCCGGCGTGAGTGCCTCTTTGCCTCTTTGCCTCTTTGGACGCTACATCCTCCTCCTTTCCTCTCCTCCTCCTCCTCCTCCTCCCCCTCCTCCCTCCTCCATCATCATCAGCAGAATGATCATCATCGCGGTCGCCATCGTAGTCCTGACAGGTTCGCCGTCATCATCACCATCCTCGCCATCAAGATCGGTACCATCGTCGCCATCAACGCCACCAATGTCGGCACACCGCTCACACGCTTCGTGGCCCCATGAGGAGCTCCACTGAAGGCCCCAGTGGCGGTGTTTGCATGCGCCTCCCCCGCCCAGTACGACGCTTCGTGGCCCCGTGGGGAGCTCCACCGAAGGCCTCAGTGCAGGTGTTCGCAAGCGTCTCCCCAACTCCCAGTACAGCGTTTCGCGCCCCCACAGGGAGCTCCACCGAAGGCCTCAGTGCAGGTGTTCGCATGCGTCTCCCCAACTCCCCGTACAGCGCTTCGCGCCCCCTAGGGAGCTCCACCGAACGCCCTAGTGGCGGTATCCGCATGTCTCCCCCACCCCATAGAACGCTTCGTGGCCCAATAGGGAGCTCCACCCAAGGCCCCAATGGAGGTGTTCGCAAGTGCTTCCCCCACTCAGCACAGCGATCCGTGGCCCAACAGGGAGTTCCACCGAAGGCCCCATCGGCGGTGTTCGCATGCGCATCCCCTGCCCCTTACAACGCTTCGTGGTCACATAGGGAGCTCCACCGAAGGCCCCAGTGGCGGTGTTCGCATTCGCCTCCCACACCCATTACAGCGCTTCGTGTCCCCGTAGGCTCCACCGAAAGCCCTAGTGGCGGTGTTCGCATGCGTCACCCCCGCCCGATACAACGTTTCGTGGCCCCAAAAAGAGCTTCACCGAGGGCCCCTGTGGAGGTGTTCGCATGCGTCTTCCCCAGTACAGCGTTTCGTTGCCACAGAGAGAGAGAGAGCTCCATCGAAGGCCTCAGTGGCGGTGTTAGCATGCGTCTCCCCCGCCCAAGTACGACGCTTCGTGGCCCCAAAAAGAGCTTCACTGATGGCCCCAGTGTCGGTGTTCGCATGCGTTTTCCCCAGTACAGCGGTTCCGCTGCAACAGGAGGAGCTCCACCGAAGCCACCAGTGGCGGTGTTCGCATGCGTCGTCCATCTCCTGCTCAATCTTCTGCCCTCCCTCGCTTCCCCCTTCCTCCCCAAGCTCCCTGTTAATCAGTTCGTCCTCCTTCTCTCTGTTCGCCGCCTCGTCCTCGCCAGCCTCGTCGCGCTCGTCGTCATCGTCGTCGTCGTCCTCCTCCTCCTCCTCCTCGTCCTCCTCGTCCTCCTCCTCCTCCTCCTCCTCCTTCTCCTCCTCCTCCTCCTTCTCCTTCTCCTCCTCCTCCTCCTCCTCCTCCTCTTGGGAGTCTCGGCCTTGTCGCTCGCCACGCCCCAGGCGCCCTTGAGCTTCTGGGGCTCGACCTGGCACGATGCACCGCTGCTCAGGCGCGGGGGGACCACCAGGAGAAAGACCTGTGGCTCTGGGAAGCTGTCTGAGGGATAAATTCCTGGAACGTCATCGTGCTAGGTCAAAGAAAGGTGCCATTAAGCCTCACTGGGCCAGAATAAACCAAGTATCAAGCTGGAATAAGCAGGATAAAACCGGATCAAGGGGGTTCAACGGACTAGGGCGGTCTTTGCCTTCGGATATAGCAGCGCTGATGCCGAAACCAACCCCCCAGGAAATGCAACCAAAGATATCGGACACGTGCCGGTGGTTTCCCGAAGTTCCGGGGGAGATCTCGGCAAGGCTTCTGGCGGATCGCAGGAAGGCTTCTTCGGTGTCCGAAGCAGTCTGGAGGTTTCAGAACCTTTCGGCAAACATCGTTTTCGCAGGGAGCCCCTTCAGCTGGTGTGGGATGCCTCTCATCCCTTCTTCTCGTCGTCCTTGTCCTCCCCGTCGTCGTCCTAGCCCTCATTGTCGGCAACTGAACGGGACATGTTCCTGGCCCCCCTGGGGTACACCCTCGTAGCAACAACCTGTTGGTGGGGATGCCGATTCCAATGCTCACCCAAGTGGGGTAAGGCGAGAAGTCCCCAGTTGGGGTCCCCCTCATGATCCTTTTCCTGCTTGCCTTCTCCTCCCCTCCGAAAAGGACGAGAATCGCTGAACACGAGGGGGACGCGACGGAGAGCGCAAGGGCGTGGCATCGCACACAGATTGCCGACTCCTGTAGGCCGCTGACGCCGCCGCCGAGATCGGAGGGCCGCCCCATCACGGAATGTGCGCACTGGCTCTCCTCCTCCGGCGCCTCCTCCGCCTCCTCCTCCTCCTCCTCCTCCTCCTCCTGCTCCTCCTCCTCCTCTCGAACTGCCCTGAATGATACCGCTGCCACCGAGACCTGAGTGCCAGGCTCCCCCCGGAGAAGCGGCCCCTGGTCTCGGCTGCATCGCGAGGGCAAGCCGTCTTGACACCGACGTTCCCCCTCCACGTCGTCCTCGTCCTCGTTCTCCTCCTCCTCGTTATCCGCCTCCCCCGTCGGAATCATTGATATATCGTGTCCCTCCGCGTGCTCATCGAACGTACCCGTTTTGTTGTCCCCTGCACTCCTCTCCCTCCTCTTGCTGCTGACCTCCTCCGCGTGCTCATCCTCTTCCTCCTCCTGCACTCCTCCTGCGCTCCCCGTTCCCCCTTCCGCCTCCTCCTCCTCCGTCTCCGCTCCCTTCTTCATCCTCCTCCTCCTCTTTCCGGGGATGGACAGACCCCCCTTTAGTAAAACGCGGTTTAGTGAAAACGACCTGAGGCCCAAACCTGGCGGGCGCAAGCCTGGAAAATAACGAACTCGGCGCCCTCTCGAGAACCGAAAACGGACAATTCACTAATCGACGCGTCACTGTTGGGGGTTCTGTCCGCCCCCGATCTTTTCCATCGTCCTCCTCTTTCCCTCGGCCTCGCCTCTCCTGTTCTCTTCCCCCGTCTCCGCCTCCTCCCCTTTTCCTCTCGCCCTCTCCCCGCCCGCCGCCCACCAGAGCCGTCCGCGAGGCCTTTTTCAGAGGCCCCCGACCACGCTCGGAAGAGAACACAAGAAGCATCCCTGGGGACTCTGGTAGGGCGACGCAATCTATACATATCCACTGCTCCCTGGCCAGGCCCATCCTGAACACAGCAGCTGTGTTTACGCCACGCCCTCCTGGTTTGGCCAGGAGGGCGTATACACAGCTCCTGGGTTCAGGGTGGGCCTGGCCAGGGAGCAGCGGATATGTATAGATTTCGTCCCCCGATCTGGCCCACAACCCAAAGCACGGTGGCGGGATGGGCCAAGAACCTGCTTAGCACAGGGGCGGAGACACACTCGCTTGCAGAGGGCAATCGATCGTTTGCGGGACCGTTTGAGCTCGTCTTATATTTCTAGTTTCCCCCCTGATGTATCGAATCCGAACGTACGCACCCAGATCTGTGCTACTGGCGCAACGGAAAGACATGATGACAAGAATGCTGATGCGGGTGAAGATACGAGTGTCGTGAGGTTGATCGTGCAAACAATCAAGATGACAACGGTGATGAGCTCGAAGCGAATTTCATGCCGCGTGTTCCACGGTTGGACCGCCCATCGGTGCTGAGAGCGAACTGAATGCGCGGTGTGTTCCCGTCTGGACCACCCGATGCCCGAATACAGTGCTCTCCCCGTTTGGACCACCCATCAGGCATTCTTGGGATCCTCTTCGGGTGCTTGAGGACCTCCTGGCTCGTGTTTAGCATTCCATATTACGCAATCCTGGAGTGCGCGCGCAAAGATTACACGCTTTCGTGACGCTTACGCGGTCCGCTGCACATGCAAACTCCAATAACATGATGGCACGAAACAAATGCCACTTGCCTCGCTGCGTTTTCCCCGTTCGGATCGACCGTTGTCCAGAACCATGTTTTCAACAGGTGGACCCCCCTCTGTCCGATGTCGTGTTTTCTCCGTTTGGGCCGCCCATCGGTGCTCGAAGGGGAATCAATGCGCGTTGTGTTCCCCGTCTGGACCGCCCGCTGCCCGAATGTATTGTTCTTCCTGCTTGGACCGCCCATCGGCGCTCGGAGGGAAATTACTGCGCGTTATCCCATCAGGCCCTCTTGGGGGTCCTCTTCGGGCGCTTCGGGGACCTCCTGGCTCGATTTTGCACACACCATAGTACACAATCTTGGAATGAGTACGCGGATGTGACGCGGAGTTAACGCAAGCTTACGCGGAGCTTCGCTTGAGATGATCACGATGATCAGGTTGACGATGAGGATATGGATGATGATGCTGCTGCTGCTGATGCTGATGATGATTATGATGCTGCTGATGCGGATGCTGTTGATGATGATCATGATGGTGATGGCTACAATGACGATGATTAGTATGACGATGACGAGGATGACGATGATGAGGGTGATGGTGATAATGATAACGATCGCGGAAACTCACGTGAGCTTACGCGGAGCGTATGCGGGCTGGGGCACCCGAGATGGCCCAAGAGGCACCCACGACAACAGCGTACGAGAGCTTACGCGGTACTTACGCGAGCTTACGCGGGCGTGTTAGATCCCTGACCCTACAAATGCCACCCCCCCCACACTCCCCTGAATACACTTCTCCCGAATCACGTATCGAATGCCACGCGCGCTTTCCTCCACCTTCTGGCACGTGAACGGAAAGAGGGAAGAGCGGTTCCGTAGAACCTCCCCCGGGAATGCTCATGATGGCACCGTCCGCTCACATGAGCCTTGGCGTTGAGAGAGTTGTACGTCACTGGTAGCTCTCTGGAGCCTTGGCGTCACTGTTTGCCCTTCGGAGCCCTGGTATTAGGTACTTATCACATCACCATTCGCCCTTGGGAGCCTTGGTGTTGAGAGATGTTTGCATGACAACTCACTTTCGTGAGCCTTGGCGCTCAGAGCTCTTAACGTCGTCGGAAGCTCTGCGGAACCTGTATTAGCGTCGACGAACTCTTACGTCTCCGACTCGTCTTGACAAAAGTGTTCCGTCATCCGGAGCTCGTCGGAGCCCTGGCATCGAAGCTGTGTCCGTCATGGCGTTCGAATAATTCCACACCGCAGATCTCTCTTGAGCGCATTGGTAATCAGAGCTTTTCACATCTCTGTGAGTTCTTGGGAACCTCGGCATTCAGAGTCGTCTGCGTCAACGTTCGCTCTTAGGAGCCTCGAAATTACGGACTTGTTACGTAACTGTGAGCTGTTGGGGGCCTTGATGTTCAGAGTTTGTCACCTTACTGCGAGCCATGGAGAGCCTTGATGCTCAGAGCTTTTCGCATCACCGTTCGCTCTTTGGCGCCTTGGCGCTCACAACCTTTTTATTACGTCACTGCGAGCTCCTGGGAGCGCTCACGATCATAGCTGTTGTGCCTACACGGAGTGGTCGTGCTAGAACGATATGATGTTGTCAGGAAGTTTGTTAAAAACTATTTCTAGGGCCGACCACCTCCCTCCCTTCTCCCCTCTTCTCCACCAACCCCCTCCCCCTTCCTCCACCTCCCCCTACCTCCCCCTACCTCCTCCCCCGTCCCCCCCGTCTTCCTGCCCCTCTCCTCCGCCTCCACGCTCTCCTCCTCCCCATCCTGGGCCTCCCGGTCCTGCTCGTTTCGCTTCGTCCCGTTTCGAGGCGGTGCGGCAGCACTGCACGCTGGGACGCATGCTCACTGCGTCCGGGTGCCCGCGGCGCTCGCTCCCCCTCCCCCCCAACGCACTCCTCTCTACTGAAGGGGCCCCAGGACATACAAATAAATACACACAAATAAAAAGATGTCCCATATTTTCCCATATGTTCTGGGTTTTTGTCTTCCCCCCCATTCCCATGTTTTCCCATATTTTCTTGGGAATCGACGATGAATTGTGTCTGTGTGTTTTTCCCCCTCCTGATCTACGTCCGCAGCCTCCCCCCAGGGGCACTCCCTCACCGCGCCTCCTCACTCTCCACCGCCATCCTCGGCCCCTCCCCGCGCTCACGCCGGCGGCATCCGAGTTCATCCTTGGCCCCCCCCCACTGCTCCTCGCCCTCGTTCCCCTGCTGTCCCGCCTTCCTCTCCCTCGGCCTCCGCCTCCTCCCCCTCCCCTTCGGTGTGCGGCTCCAGGAAAGGCCCACACCTCTCCCGGTCCCCAGCGTGGACCAGAAGCTGTTATTGCGCTGGCCCGCCCAAATGGTCCCTGGCGTGGATCAGCCTGTTCTGGCATGGTACACCCTGCGAAATGCTTAAGAAATCATGGGTTAAGAAATTCATAGTCTCAGAATTTGAATAAAAACTCTAAATTTCTACCAACCTTGTAGGATTTACACTGAAACATTAAGAATAAGCGAGACTCTGGCCGAAAGATTTAGTTTTCTTAAGCATCGCCTAAGGTGTACAGCTCAACTGTTCAACAGAAAGGAAAAAAAGGTCTTACATACGCGAGATGGCATAGCGAGCCTGATCCGCGGCTTGCGCGGACTGCCAGCGTCGCACACCGCGTGGACACTAGGGCGCTGACGCGCGACCTCACGCGGGAAGCTTACGGGCGAATGTCGGCGCAGTCGAGCTGCTCCTGGTACGGATTCTCCCCCCTCCTCCGAGCGCATCCCTGCACGCCTTCTTCGAGGGCAGCTTCTTGCCTGACTCGGCGGCTATCTCCGCGGCCGCGTCCCTCTCCGCCGCTGCGTCGGCCAGGGACAGCGCCAGCGCTCGAGGGGGCAGGGGACGAAGGAGGGCATGAGAGAGTGGGGGCGGGGGGGGGGCATTGAGAATAAAATCCTGGAGGCCTCGCCTGGCAACTTGAGACTCAATGTACGTCGATTCACGTCGGATGTACGTCGGGTCCACTTCGGATTGCGTCGGATGTACGTCGAATCATCGCCGCGCAAACGTCATCCCATACCTGACGGGGCGGCATTTCGGTCATACTTGAGGCGATTGCCCGATCGGACACAAGCGGAGGGTAGTTAACGGGGGCCTTGAGAAACAGATCACGCGGCTGGTTCTCACAGCGCTGGAAGCGCCACTGTATCAAGGAAAACAACCGCCGACCGAGCCGAAAACCAGCTGATGTCGTTATGTTCTTCCGCGGGCTGCCTGGGCCGAGCCAGCCTCAGAGCTCAGGGCCAGCACTGCCGAGCCCACGTTCCCAACGCGTAGGAGGTAGCACGGAGGCAGCACACTTGATACCGCGAGACCAAGCGCACGAGCATTAGGTCGGGCATGTCCTCCTAAGTACAGGCGGATGTTGGAAGAAGCATGGAGCATAGCCGAAACATATTCAAAAAGGCCCCGAATAATTCAAAACCAAACTCGTCCCCAGATAATGCTTTGACTGCTTGTGAATACTCCTCCTGTAGCGGGACGTGCCCGACCTCACACGAGCTGCACGCAGCAGAGGAGGAGGAGGAGGAGGAGGAGGAGGAGGAGGAGGCGGAGGAGGAGGAGGAGGAGGAGAGGAGGGGGGGAGGGGGAGGAGGAGGAGGAGAGGAGGAGGAGGGGAGGAGGTATGGAGGAGGAGAGGAGGAGGAGGAGGAGGAGGGGGAGGGAGGAGGAGGAGGAGGAATGCACTTCCGAGGCGGGCCCGACAGTCGCACTGCCGCAGCCTCCGGGCCTCTGGAAGCCCGCCTTGGGCCCAAGGGGGCAGCCCACGAGTGGCCCGCGGGCGGGGCAATGCAGAGCTTCGCGGGCTCACGACTCGGGGCAAGACATGGGGAGGCCTCCCATATGGGGTCCGAGTGGATGGGGTCGGAGGATCGCGCCGCATCGGCGATGCATCGGCAATCCATCGCCGATGCATCGGCGATGCATCGGCGACATCGGCGAAGCATCGGCGCCATCGGCGTGGAGCAAATCGGCCTCCATATCGAGCCGCATCGCCGATGCATCGGCGATGCGGCGCGATCCTTCGACCCCATCTAGACGGACCCCATTCAGGAGGCCTAAAGGCATGCAGAGCTCCGCGGGCTTGCGACTCGGGGCAATACACGGCGTCGGGGGTACGGGCAGGAACAAAGAAAACGCGACCCCCCCCCCCCCCCGGGCTCCTCCCGTGGTGGTCTCTGCAGAGACCACCAGCGGGAGGAGCCGGGGGGGGGGCCCCTTGGGCCCCCCCCCCTCGCCCTGCATCCTCAGCTCGGGGAGGCATCGTGGACCCCCTGGCTGGAGGTGGCACCCCTGGTGGCGGCGGTGTCGGTTCTCCTTCCCCCCATATAGCAGGGCTGAAAGGGGCGGGGGGTCCAACAAAAACACGCGAGGAGGGGGAGGGGGAGGACGGGGAGGAGGAGGAGGAGGAGGAGGAGGAGGAGGAGGAGGAGGAGGAGGAGGAGGGGGGGAGGAGGAGGACGAGGAGAGGAGGAGGAGGAGGAGGAGGAGGAGGAGGAGGAGGAGGAGGAGGGGGAGGGGGAGGAGGAGGAGGCGGCCGCTGTGTCAGCGAAGCTCTGGGCCTCTGAGAGGCCCGCGTCGTGCCCCGGGACTGCCAGCGAGAGGCCCGCGGCCCGGGGGCCGCAGGGCTCCGCGGGCCCACGGGTCGGACCAGGCAGGGCGTCGGAGGCGTGGCGGGGGGGAGGGCAGGGGAGGCCTGCCAGGGCCACAGCCACAGCGGTCTGCGTGCCCATCTGAGCAGTTCTCGGGTGGCGAGCCGAAAAACGTGCTAACAAATCGTGCGTTTTGACGTCGCTGTCATCACATCGCCGGGGTGGTCTGCCAGGGGGGTGGGGGGCTCTCGGGGGACAGCCCAGTGAGGACCTAATGCTCTGAATCGGGAGGCCGTCGGGGACCCCAGGGAGGCCGAGAGGCCAGAGTCGGGGGGGAAGGGGGGGGGCAGGTGGGCCAGGGACAGCCTAGCGAGGACCCAATGCTCTGAATCGGGAGGCCGTCGGGGAGCCCCGGGAGGCCGAGAGGCCAGAGTCGGGGGAGGGGGGGGAGGGCAGATGGGCCAGGGAAGGAGGGGGCAGGGCGGCGGAAGGTGGAGGTGGAGGAGACGCAGCACCTCCTGCACCTCCCACCCGTGGGTGACGAGGGCTCGTCGCGACCGCGACACCCGCGAGGACGGCAGCCACGCCGACCACGACGACCGCGACGTCGACGACGGCTACGATGACGACGACGCCAACGACGACGACCACGACGACGACGATCGCGAAGACCACGATGGGCGACGCGCACGCGGGGAGAGGGGGCGACTACGGCGACGAGGGCGGCCTTCTAAGAAGGGGAGGGGCCTTCTCGGGACCCTGCCGCTTCCAAGAAGCTTCCCCAGGAAGGCCTCTTGAAGGCAGGACGGCCTCCACTGGGCGGGGTGCCTTCCTAAAAGAAGCCGGCCCCGTCGCCAGTCCTGCCTCTCAGACCGACGACCAGACTTCCTCACGTCGCCAGCCTCCAGAGCGCTCGACCCCATCTGCCCGGGACTATTTGTTCATAGTGGGCCGTCGTGTGGCCAGAAGATACAGCATCAGCATACACGCAGACGTTCGAGGGTCCGCCCACATCTCTCGGATCGGACCCTGGACCCCCCACTCTGGAGGCGCCTCCGACGCCGCCCCTGGCGCGCTCCGCGCGCTCAGGAGGGGGGTCCAGCGCCGAGCCAAGGCATCCGCGCGGACCTCCAAAGGTCTACGTGCTTGCAGATGTTTCTCTTCTTCGATGTGAGGAAACCAAAAAGTACCGATACCGCTACTCCCTGGACCTCTCTCCTGGGGTGCGCTCTGACCAGATTTTCAAGGCGAGTCCAACGGTGGCAACGAGGGCCTCCCAGGAGGCCCAAAAAGGGGAAAACGAGGGGAGGGTAGAGGTATGGGTACCAATTCCTCCTCTGACGATCGGCGTCCCCAACGCTGAGAAGGGCCCCTGCAGAGGACGAAAATATTACGAACAGAAGCTCCGGCGCGACTCATCCGGGCCGCCCGAAAGAAGTGCCATGGGCTGAGCGTGTCGAGGCGAGGCCAAGAGGTCCGACGACGCCTCGACCTTTTCAATGCGGGGTACCACCCCTCCCATCTGTCTCTCTTGCTCCTCCTCCTCCTCCTCCTCCTCCTCCTCCTCCTCCTCCTCCTCCTCCAGCTCGTTCAGCCGTTTTGGCCCCGACCGCCTGCCGTGCCGAGAGGTACCGCGGGCTTTTGTGGCCACCGACAATCTCCAAGCGATTTCGGCTGGGATCAACAGTCTCCGAGTTCGGATATCCAGATCACTCATAGTCGGTCAGCCCTGATGGGTAAAAGCAAGAAATGGCGCGAGGCGAGGAAGAGGCAGGAGGTGCATAATGGGGATCCATGGCCACCGCTGCCGCTCCAGCCTGGACCTCAGCACTCTGCCCCTCGCGGGCAAAGCATCGGATGGGCGCCGTGGCACATGGCTCAGCAGCCGTGGTTCGTGCCGCCGCCGCCGCCCCAGCCTGGGGCTCCGAGGCCGCCGCGTGATGGACATAATAACGATACGAAGGTGAAGTGCTCAGCGTGTCCGCGCTGGGCTTGGACGAGTAAGCTCCAGATGTACAAGAATACGTGCCTGTGCGGGGCGCCCTTCAGCAACTTGCCGCCGCCTGAGACAGGTGGTGGAGGGACCAAGCCTTCCAAGGGCAAGGGCAAGGGCAAGGGCCAGGACCAGGCCGCGTTGGAGGCGCAGCTGGAGTCGGTCATCAAGGACCGCGGCGGCACCGAGCAGGCCAAGGCGGCCCAGGCGCTGCTGGACGCCACTCGGGCCGCTGGCAAGAAGGCGGAGTCGTCGCAGCCGATCACGCAGCAGGTGACAGCGGCTGCCTCGAAGGTCCAGAAGGCTCAGACAGCTTTCGATAAGGCGCAGTCGCAGCAGCTCAAACTCACGATGGAGCTTGAGAAGTGCAAGAGCGCCCTGCAGAACGCTGCGACCACCTTGGCGCGGGCGGAGGCTGAGAGGGCCACCTTGTTTCGCTCCATGGTGCCAACGGTTGCGGCGGCTGGTGCTCAGCAGGCAGCGGCGCCGAACAACACCATCGACTTGTCGGCGCTGCTGTCGGCGCAGTCGGTGGACGATTCGCTGTTCACCTTGTCGCTGGGCGAGGAGTTCAGCAATGCCGATGGCCTCCTGGAGCAGAGCGACGTCGAAGAGCTCGACAGGAGGAAGAAGGCTGTTATGGAGGCCTTGATGCACACGCTGAAGGCCACGTTCGGCGACGCCCATGAGAAGCTCAAGGAGCATCGCGAGAACCTCTCGGAGATCCGCGAGAAGATGGCCAAGAGGCGCAGGGAGAACTCGCCTGGGCCGCCGCCCACAGTCGCGTCAGGCGGCCCAGGCTCAGCAGCGGCCGCCTCGGGCGGCAGCGCGGCTGGGCAGGCAGCCGGGCAGCCTGCGGCTGGTGCAGCTGCGGCGGGCTCGGCGCCTGGCGGCGCAGCTGCTGATGCGGATGCCGTGGAGGCTGCGCGCTTGACGGCGATTGAGACGAAGCTCAAGTCGGACGCGGAGGCGATGCTGGCGACGGCGAGGTCTGCGGCGGGCGCTGCGGGCACGTCGAGCCTTTAGCAGGTTCGCGCCCCTCGATCGTGGCGGGCCTTGTGGTCGAGGGGCGAGCCCGCCAGCTACGAGTCCGAGTTCGGCCCCTACATGTTCATCTACGCGACGCTCTCTGTACATGAGAAACCTGGGAGGATGGGGTCCTGCTTCGCGGTCAGTGTGTCGAGATCGTGTTGCTGATGTCCTCATTTTTCCTGAGACCCACGTGCCTGAAGCTGGGTCCCATGAGTTGTTGCACGACTGGAGGAAGGCAGGCTACATCGGGATGTTGTCGGCGGCTTACGAGTTCAACGGTAAGTCCAAGGCAGACGGCATCACCATGGGCACGTTGAAGAAGTTCAAGGTCCAGTCGATGCGGCATCTGGCATCGGCTCCATCGGACCAGGTTGGGTTGCGCGATCTGGATCGGAGCCCAAAGGACCAGCCAGGCATTGATTTTCGTGATATGGTGGCCATGCAGTTGCGAGCTCAGGGCCAGTCCTTGTTGATCGTCGGAGTGTATATGACGTCGTCGGTCGGCCCGAAAGCTAACGCGCCTAAGCTCGCCAATGTTGGTACTCTGGTTTCCACTGTCCAGGGGCCGTGGCTCGCCATCGGAGATTGGAATATGACACCGAAGGAGTTGGCAGGAACGGGCTGGCTCAGTCTTGTGACTGGCAGTGTGATCGCCCCTTTCAACACGGATTACACTTGCACCCTGGGCTCGGGCCGCATGCTGGACTATATGGTGGTCTCTCAGCATGCGATGCCGTGGGTCGAGTCTCTCTTGGCTGATTTCCAGGCGGTGGAGGGGGCGGGCAAGGCCCACTATGGGCTTCAGCTCAGCCTCAACTTCGACGCCAGTCGGGCCAGAGCGTGGCCCATGCGAATGCCGAGGGCTTTTCCGCACCCTGCTCGGCCCAAGCTCAAAGCAGACCCTGCCAGTAAACGTTCGCAGAAGAAAGTGGAGGCTCAAGCTTGGCGAGATGCTCGGCCACAGCCGGCTGTCGCGCCTGCTCCACCCTCGTGGGGCCCGAGGCGCAAGCTGGTTATCAAGAGCCCCCCTCCGCTGCAGTATTCTCTTTTTGGTGAAGACGAGGACGAGTTTTTCACGGACGGTGAGGGCGCGGACGTTTCTGGCGAAGAGGATGATGTGCAGGTGGCCGTCTCTGATTCGGACGTGGACACGCATGCCTCGATCCAGGCGGAGTGGTCGTCGGAAGCGAAGGACCTCTGATGGCGGGCTACGGAAAATAGAGCGCCGCGGGACCCTGCGAAAACCGACCCCTTTGGACTGAAAGGGGTCGGTTTCTCTGGCGGCACACCCTGGCAGCAGGTGGCGCCATCGGCCTCGCTTCGACCCATTCCTGACTTTGTGCAGCAGTCTTTGGCCTTTCAAGCGGCCGAGGAGGAAGCTCAGGACCTTGGTGACGAGTTCGCGTGTTGGGTGTCAACCATGGAGTTGTACTATCTCGAGTTGTATAAGGTGGGCCCCATTGGCAAGGAAGCAGTACCGTGGTCGTGGCAGTCTTCGTGGGCCGCAGCTTGGAGTTTATGCTGGGACTAAGCCTTACCCCACTGTTGCTGATCCGAGTGCTCGCTGGTGGGCCTCAGTAGCTAACTTGTTGGACGAGCTGGTGGGGCAGAAGGATGCTAAGCGAGATCTTCCTCGTGCTCGGCATCTGCGGGACCAGTTGAGGCAGCTGGCTGGTTCCATCCCGTCGACGCAGATCGTGCCCTTGCCAGCTCGCCGTCGCGACCGATGGCTCAGGAGCTTGCGCGCCTTGGACGGGGCGCCCCAGGACTCACTGCAGGCCTTTGCTGAGGGGGCGCGCAAGGCCTCTGATCAGGCCCAACGTGCTGTGGCTCGGCAGCGCCACCAGTCTTTCCGCGACTGGGTGCACCAGCAGGCGGTTCTCGGCTGCGGCGCGCTGCATCGTTTCGTTCAGGATCCCACGGCAGAGGTCAGCGAGGTCAGATTGGGCGGAGCCACTTCGCACGATGCTGCATCGGTTATGGAAGCGAAGGCGGCGATCTGGAGTGCTCTGTGGACGCCGTCGAACTTCGACGACGGCCTGGCGATGCGGGTGCTGCAGCGCGCTCGGCGGCTGGCGCTGCAGGACGAGCTGGAGCCCCTCACGCTCGACCAGCTGGAGGAGGCGCTGCGCGCTGTGCCACCGCGCAAGGCGCGGGGCACCGAGTCGGTCGGCCAGCGGGACGTTTGTGGCTGCCTGAGTCGGGCCGCCGCGCGCTGCTTGCCTTGTTCCATCAGATTGAGGCCAAGGTTGCTTGGCCTTGGCAGTGGCTCACAGCTATCATTGTTTTCCTTCGCAAACCTGATGTGCGTAAGGATCGCGCCATAGGATTGCTCACCTGGTTGGGTCGTTTGTGGAGCCGCATGCGGTCTCGCCCTGCGGAAGTGTGGGCTGCGGCTCGCTCTGGTCCTTGGGGCGCCGCAGTCCGAGGCAACAGCGCTCTACGAGAGGCTCTGCTCAGGTGTTACGCTGATGAGGCATCGCTTGCTTCAGTTCTGCCTGAATATTGCTCTGCCTCAGCGTTGTGGGACGTGGAAGCGTTTTACGACACGATCAGGTGGGAGCGAGTGATCGATCATGCGATCGATCTGGATTTCCCCCCGCACCCCTTGGCCCTGGAAAGCATCCTCCATATGGGGCCTCGGCTGTTGCGGGATGAGGGGGTCTTCGCTCCTCCCATTGTTCCTCACGGGGGGCTCGTGGCTGGTGCTCGTCGGGCCCCCGATTTCTCGAAATGCCAAATGTTCGAAATTTGCGATCGGTCGTGTGCTAGCAGTGCTCTTGCGTCCCTCCGCGCGTGGATCGATGATGTCACGCAGCGTGCCGAGGGTTTGAAACGAGATGTAATTCGTGAATTAATCCAAGCCGGGGCTGTTTTTGCCTCGGGCTGCGATCAGGAGCATCTGAACATTGCAAGTAAGTCGACCACTGTGGCGTCTGAGCTCTCGGTGGCGCGTGCAATCCAAGCTGGCCTAGGACTGACATGCATCCAGGTCGAGGTGGCCTCGGTTGCAGCGGACCTGGGAATCGAGCGGGGCAGTGGCGTTGCTGTCGCCAAGCCTCGTCATTCTAAGCGTCTTGGTCAGGCCGCTCGAAGGGCTTGTCGAATTAATAAGTTAGCTGCTGTGGCTCCTCGCAAGATCGGGGCGCGTTTGATCCTCACTGGGGCTTTGCCGCAGGCTTCTTACGCCTGGAAGGTTTTTGGGGTCGCGCCCTCGGTCCTCCAGAAATGGCGACGGGCCTTAGCCAGCAGCTTAATTAGAGGCACAGCGGGGCGATGTCTCACGACCCTGCTGGCCCTGGAAGTTCGGAAAAAAAAAGGACCCTGCTTTCTCCGCCGTGGTTCAGCTTCTGGATTCGTGGTTTCAGATTGTTGCTGCACTGCCAGAAAAAAAGGAGTTGCTCGCATGCGCGCTTGCTGGGCGGCCACGGTTGAGAGAATCGACAGTCTGGGACCCCAGCGCAGGTGGCATAGTATAAAGGGACCTGTCTCGGCTGTGGTCGCCACCATGACGGCGCTGGGATGGAAGCTCGACGGGCCTTGGTCGCGGGCTGCTCCTGGGGGTGACGTCTTTGCCGTTCCCGACGAGCTTCGCTCCCAGGCATATATGACGTCGGATTTAAAAAAGAAGGTTGACCATAGCATTGAGGCGCGTTTATGGTCTGCTGCCGCCGAGTTCCGCAATGGATGGGGGCCTTGCATCAGGCGTCGACCTCACGGTTGCTTGGCGGCACCTTGCGTCTTTGCGTCAAAGTCCCCTCAGAAAGGGGGCATGCTGCGCGCGGTGCTCACGGGGGCTGTCTGGACGAGGGCCCGTATTCAGGCCTCGGGGGGGGAGTGTGAGCTCACCTGTCCCCGTTGTAACTCGGCCCCCGAGACGGACATCCATCGTTTCTGGGAGTGCCCGTGCAACAGTGAATTCCAAACAGTTGACGAAGCCTTCGCTCGAAAAGCTGCTTATGTTGCTGCTGAAATGCCGCGCTTCTGGCTTCGCGGTCTCGTGCCCCGCGACTGGACGCAGGTCCCTCCTCCTCCCGACGACCCCATCCTCTCTGCCGCTGGTGTGTTTCCTGGGCCTTTGGAAGGAACTCGCATCTGGGGCGCTGGGGATGCGAGTGGTGGGGAGTTCACGAGGGATAAGCGTCTGAGGCGGGCGTCGTGGGGCGTCGCGGTTTTCGGCCATGATGTTTTGACCCTGCCCCCCCGGGTGTCGGATGCCGACATAAAGTTTTTACAAGGGGGCGGGATCACGGGTAAGCAGTCTGTGAATCGTGGTGAGCTCTGGGCCCTTTTGGCTTTCTTGGAAGGTGCTCACCCGCAGGCGTGCCTGGGTTATATAGCGGACTCGGCTTACGTCGCTCGAGGTTTCGCTCGTGTCCAGGCCGGCCTTTTGAAGCGAATTCAGACGCACGTCGATCTGTGGAGGCGTGTCCAGAGCGCTCTGGAGCGCCTCGGTGTTGTGGTTCTCATCCAGATTCCGAGCCACCTCAAAGTTAAGGATGCCATCCGCCGCGGGCTGAACCCTGGCGTTGTTTTGGCGAACGCCGTGGCCGACGAGGTTGTGAGTCACTTCGCAAAGCAGGTTCAGGTCCGTTATGCGGTTTCGGCCCCCATCAGATTCGCTGATGGTATTGCTCGGAAGGTGCAGAATCATTTGCTCGACGTGATGTCAGATGTTTTGGAGCGCGAGGGCCGACGCCCTCCCCGACCCCCCAAAGAGCAGGTGCGGAGATCGGCTCGTCAGCTCTTGCGCGCGGCTGCGGTGAGGTCGACCCATCAAGTGCCCCATGATATGTGGTGACTTCGCCCAGTGTCAGAAGTGCGGTTGCTCATCAACCGCCCGCGATTTGACTTCGTTTCTGAATTCGCAATGTACGCCCATGGCCTGGTCTGGTTCTGTCTTCCGTCCGACGGCTGCTGTCTGTGTGCGCAGTCGTCTTGTGGACCCGTCCCATGCCGTGGCGTTCTGGCCCGAGGCGAATGTGCTGTGGTGTTTAACGTGTGGAGCGTATTCGACCCAGCATTTGCGTGACCTCGGGAAGGTTTGTTCGGGCCGCCTCGATAAGGCGGGGGCCCAGAATCTCACCAGGATTTCCCAGGGCAAGGTCCCTGGCAGTCTTGTTTGGGGGAAGGAGCGGAGGGAGAGGGCGAGTGCGAGAGACGGGGAGGGAGAGGGGAGCTGGAGGCGGAGAGGCGGCTGAGCTGCGGCCGGCCGCCCGCCACGGCGGTGGCGCCGTTTGGGGGCGCCGCTGGTTGCGGGCCTGACCAACGCGGCGGCCGTGGCCGGACCATCAGGCGCCGCCGATGTTCTCTCCCCCACCACCGCGGTCCTCCTGCCTACTGTCGTCCCCCCGCCACTACGTGGTGGCATAGCGGCCTCCTAGGTTGGCCATTTTTTTCCCTTGTCATTGATCATCCATGATCGCTCCTATATATATTTATATTTATATAATACTTATTATCTAGATTGATATATATATATATTAGATCTCAGCTCGTTCTCCTCCTTGTAGTCCTCCTCCTCATCCTCTTCCTCCTCCTCCTCCTCCTCCTCCTCCTATGTCTCCTCCTTCTCCTGTCCTCAGGGCTGGCATCTTGTCTGGAGTCGTGCTCTGACCGCCCTGGGGCCCGGCGAGGGCCCCCAGAGGCCGAGAACGGCGGGGAAGACTGCCGCACACCGCACTCTTCAAAGAGTTCGGAGGGGCTGGGTCCAGTGCGATGCTTCCTCGGGCTGGGCTCGGGTCGGGCGAAAGGGGGGGATAGCAAAGGGGGGGTTTGAGAATCAGCTCACGTAGCTGATTCTCCTGGCGCCTCCCGGCGCCGGGAGGCGCCCATGTATCGAAGAATGGGCCCCTCGGTGGGGCCGAAACCAGCTGCATGCAGCAGATTTCGT